GCCTAGCAGAAGTGGGAATGATGGACTGCCTCTGCTCGGGAGCAGACACCAAGGCAGGCTCAGGGTGCCTTGCTGTGTCCACTGAGAAGCCAGCTTTCTGGCTGGGGTTGGGGAGATGGCCTTTCTTTCCATCCATTCCTGTTTAGAGCATATGAGGCTGCATTTTCTTTTCGTAAGCAAACCTCCTCCTTTTCTCAGGGTTAAAGTCGCCTACAACACAGAGAACACTGCACCACAGGCCACCCAGGCTAAAGGGTGGAGGGAGGGGTCAGACTGAGTCTTTTTTACTTGAGGTGTCTGTTAATGCACTTTCCCAGCGGATAACCTGCTTCCTAACCAACCATGCTATAATGTTCCTTTCCTTTTCCTTTTCTAAGACCGTGCGTTACTCTGCATCCCACAGTTGAGACATGTCCGAGGCTTATGGTTTCATACTTGAAGAACAGTACGTGGGTTACATTTGGGAGTGAGCCCAAAGGAAACAACTGTTGTCCAGTGGGACTCCCAGGCTGAACCAAAGCACAGCTGGAGCAGTAACCCTGTCCCTGCCTTTGCGGGATGTGCTACCCAACCTAAAAGAGGAAAGAGGCTTGCTTCCCTCAGCAAACACGGTGAGAGGCAGCAATGCTTATAGCTTTCCTCATCATACCCCCCTCTCCAAGGGCAGAACAGTGCAGGGCACAGCAAAGCCACAGAGATGGTGGGTGATGCACAAGAATAGGATTTTCCTTCTGTCCTACTCGCCGGTGGCCTTGTCAGAGGAGCAGCAGGCAGCAACTGAAGTTCAAGGTGTCAGCCCACCAGGAGGAGGCTCTCTGATGGGTCAGTCTCGGTTAGGCAATCTCCGAGACCCCAGACCCCAGAATGTCTTTTGCTTCTTTTGTGTCTTTACATGTTTGCTGCTGCTGTGATCTTTCTCAGCTATCTGGCATGGTGTAAATGGGTACCTGTAATGTAGTGTGTTTATTTCCTGGAAACATCCCAATCTACTGGGCATTTTTACCTGCGATTATAAAGATGTTTCCTCCCTAAGCTGTATTGTCTAATTGATAATAATAATGTTAGCTTATATGGAGTTTTGATGAATAAGAATAAATACAAGAAAATGCTACACAGCAAGGGTCTATGGGTTTCACCTAAGGAGCTGTATAGTCCATAGCTCAAGTTAATGGTTAAGGAAAACAATTGAGTCCCAGGAGACAGGCTGGCTCTAATGCTCTTGGAGCTGAAAGGTGCAGTCACAGGCTTCGGTGTGCACCTTAGCCAAAACAAGGCCTTACAGTAACTTCAGGTTTGATCATAGTTTTAAGATGAAAAATCCTAGAAAGCAATCTAAAGTTCATAAGGACACATAGCTGAGTTAAAAAAAAAAAAAAACCAGCCCAACTGTTACTAGCTGACATAGTTTCCTTGCTAGGATTGGTTTTTGATCAAAGATGGTGATTAATTTCTTGTACCTATTCCTGCCCTCAATCTCCTGATATAAAAAACTTTTGATGTGTGGGTTATGTATCCTAAAGGTTTAAAGTAGAATTGACTGTTTCTTTTTCATATATAAAAGTTTAGGTTTGTGATTTCTTTAAGATTCTTTATAAGATTACCTTTCAAGATAAGTAATAAAGTAATTAATTGGCCCTGTCTTCGTAACTGCAAAATGCAGCCCACCAATAAAAGACCTAACTGAGAAGAGCACCTTGTTTGCCCACACGGTTAATCTATAACAAGTTGTTCGGTTATGAATGTATGTGGGTTCTTGGGAATAATCTTTCACCTGTAAAAAATGTTTAATCATATAAGGGATATGGAAAATATGCTGTTTTTATTTTACTGTTTGTTTTGTATTCATTGTAATCATTCACTTAAAAACAGAATGTAACTACATTGTGGTTTTTATATTGCCTGAAAGATTAAGAAGCATATAAGCTGTAAGGGAAAGAATAGAGATAGCGTTAGAAAGACTTAAAATGGGTTAGAAGAAAAACACCAAGAACGAAAGAGTTAGAAAGAAAACATCAAGAATGGGAGAAGGAATAGAGAATGCAAAAGAAGAACAAAGAAAAGGTTTGAAGGAAACCATTAAGAGAGTATGAGTTTTTCCCCTTAAGCCCCTCAGATAGAAAAATCTAGTATATGACAACACCATGTGTTCCTTTTGAGTCCTGTGCTGTCTGGAGGCTGCCCCCAGGCAGTGGTAACTGCTACCTCAAGTGAACATCAGACAGAGACAGCATTGGAGGCATCTTTCCACAAGATCAGTTAGGATTCAGCCTTCTTAAAATAGTCACCAAAGGCCTGGGGACTGGCTTAGTGGGTGAGGGCACTTGCCATGCAAACAGCATGACCTGAGTTTGAGTCCCCAGCACCCACATAAAAACCCAGGGTGACTGTGTGTGCCTGTGACTCCAGCATTGGAGAGCAGACAGATTTCTGAGGCTTGCTGGCCAGCCAGCCTGGCCTAAAGGTAAGAGTCCCCATCTGAAGGTAGTAAGGCAGGGAGGTGGAGAGGTAGACACCCAACATACTCCTCTGGCCCCCTCATTGGGTCATTGGGTCTTAGCACCTACACACTTAAACACACAACACACATACAGCCACCAACACAGATCCCTGCCTCAGTTCCTACTCTATGCATGTGCTGGTCATGAAGTCAGTAAGAGCTCCCCTGAATAAATTTTAACTTTTGGTTACTGAGCCAAATAAAAACAATCCGGTTTGTTCTGGAATATAGAAAAGTAAAGGCTTAAAACAAAAACAAACAAACACAAACAAACAAACAAACAAAAATAGCCAAGGAGGGTGAAAAGGTAAAGAAAGCTTTAGAAAAGGAACTAGACTCCAACACACACACACACACACACACACACACACACCATAGACACATACACACACCATAGACACACATAAATATCCCAAAGACAAAAATGCACACATAAATATACATACACATCATAGATGCACATATACACAACCCATAGACATACAAACACACTACTGAAAAACAAAAAAACAATGGTGAAAACCCAAAGAAAACCCTACAAGCTCTAAGACTGTCCCTATGCAGCATCATTAGGCTAGCCTATTTTAGAGAAGAGAGAATGTCAGCTGGGGGTTGTGGGGGGGAGTGGGAAAAGCAACTTGGTCCCCACAAATGCACAGCTGGACTTCCAGCTGCAGAGACCTGGGCATCTGCTCAGGCTAGGGAGAAAGGTCCTTTGAGAGCTACCCGAGAGGGAGGGCAGCCCTTGTAAGCTCAATTAAGTCTGCTGCCCTTCTCACTCCCTTACCAGGTTCCCCTGCTCTCTTCCCCTCCTCTGACTCTGTGATTCAAAACCTGTCCCTTGTGCTTGCCAGCCAGCATTGCTTGTGGAGCCCTGCCTCTGCGATGACGTCAGCCTGTCTCTGATAGGCTGATAGGCTTCTAGAATAAAGCCACAAATCACTGGTTGGGTCTGAGCCTTGCACTTTTATTTCAATGGCCTGAAACCCAAGCAGTTTCTTCTGCAGACCTCAGGCCTCTTGTCTGGCTTTGCAATAGCACTTTTCACCCCAGGAGAAAAGCGAATGTTTTGTCTGCTTTGTCGTGTGGCTAGAACCTCTGCTGTCAGGCTGTGGGGAGGAGAGAGAACAGGGTCTGACCTCACAGGGAAGCCAGTCTCTTCACAGCTTGTACATTAATTTTCCAGAGTTCTGAGCAGCAGCAAACACACAGAGATTGTTGCCCCTCCAGACTGGGGAGGGTTATGGGCTTACATTTTGGGCTTGTTGGTGTATTTGGTTCTGGATGTACAATCCCTGGGTTACAGTGGCTGAATTTATTCTCTAGCTGAAAGATGTTGCTCAGAAGAGAGTATCATTTTCAAAACTGGGCTGGGAATATAGAGGTCAGTGGTCGAGTGACCACCTAGCATGTGTGAGGCTCCAGGTTCAATGACCAACAATGAAACAAGTAAACCAGTATTTCACCTAATTCCACTTGTCATAATCACCTTCTAAGGGCTAAAACTATGAGGAAGAACACATTTTGGTCTATTTGCATGGTTCGCCTAGGGCCTGAGAGTCCTTTCTGCTGGCATCATTTCACGTTGGAGGTGAGCAACAGCACATATAACACTTTAAATAAGCACACTATTACCTTCTCAGAATCAGAACTTTCCGGAAAACTTTCTTGTCCTTTACCAAATACTGAACGACTGTGGTCTCTATCCACAAAGACCATGCTAGGTTGAAGGGTTTCAGGGAAGCAGGGCCTGTGACCTTGAGCCAGATCCCACATCTGGTTCTTCAGGGGCTGTGCCTAGACGGAGACAAGCCTGGCTGACCTCCCAGCCATGTGGTCAGTAAAACTGCCGTTCCATATAAATAGGCCCTGGAGTAAATGCTGAAGATGATTTCAGAGTCTGGAAAGGAGGCTGAGATGTAGCTCAATGGGTAGAGTCCTTGCTTAGCTGGCATGAGGCCCTGGGTTGAATTTTCAGGACCGAATTAAACTGGGCACAGTGGCATATGCCTGTAACCCCTGAACTCTGGAGACAGAGGCAGGAGGACCAGAAGCATCCAGACACCTTTAGCTACTGTGGAGGTGAGGACACACCGGGTATCTGTATCTGTGCTTTCCTACTTTGTGACTTTTGGCACACAGTCTAGCTCACATGGTATCAAACTACCCCACCCACAAAAGCCCCAATGACCTCAGGACCCATCACAATATCTGAGGTGGCTCTCTCTTCAGACAGCTCTTCTTCAGCTCTGTAGGGTCTGTCTCTCTCCAGAGGGCTCCAGCATGGCTGCCTATAGCTATGATGCCCTGGCTTTCCTAACAAAGATCATCTTGAGGGTGATTCATCTGTTTCCTTGCTCCTGAATCACTATAAGCACCTCCCCCACCCCATAGTACCAGGTACCAATGGGAACCCTACCTGTAAAAAGCAACCACCTTGCCAGGAGATGACAGAATCGGGGGGTAGGGGCCCCCCACCTCTATGACCCTCGGTGAGGGTTACCTGGGCTCGATGTTCACCAACAGCAAATTGTATCACGGCCACTCCGGGACTGTGACTATCCTCAATCCTCTCCACCGTGCTGGAGTCGATCTTGAGGTCATTGCTAATCTCTGCACTCTGGATGAAGTCCTCCGTCTTCAGGTCCTCCACCTTTTTCAGCTCCCCATTGGCCAGTTGGATGATCGAGCCTTTCATGAAATATGGCGGCAGCGTGGGTGGCGCCGTGGCAGGGGACGCCACCGACTGCACCACCGGCAGATGTATCTGGGCCTGCACCATGGCTGGGTAGGCGGCCTGGGTGACCAGAGCCTCGGGGTTGAAGTTCTCACTCTTGGGCAGAGCGGTGGTGACAAACGTGTGAGGCACTGCAGCAAACTGGGGCGATGATGTGACTATGGCCGAGGCTGCCCCAGGTGTGTCCATGTCAGGGCTGCCCACTGGGATGAGCAGAGGCTGGGTGCCTGGGATCACCAGGTGCTGAGGCAGGCTGCCGGCATAGGTAATTGCTTGCTGCTGGCCACTCAGGTAGCCGATGACAGGAGGTTGAGTCCCAGCATAGAAGGCTGTGGCTGGCAGGCCCACCGGGAGAGGCTCTGATGCACTGTGAGTGGTCTGAATGACCGTGTGGGGGGACAGTGCGTAGGACCTGTGGCTGGCCTTCCCTAAATGCAGGCCGCTCTTGTCGTTGAGGGTGGATGGAGAGGCCTCTCGATGTGCGGCCTGCTGCGTCTCCAGGTCGGCTGAGGGGGTGTTGCTGTTGGGCAGGACCATCACAGATCCACGGACCCCAGAGGTATCACGACTGCTGTAGTCTGATGGGCTCGGGTGGACCACCACGTGCCGGGACTCATAGGGATGAGGCACTGACTTGCCGCTTGCCTTGCCCAGGCTCAGCTCCACAGAGGATGGTGCCCCATACCTCCGACCCTTCTCCATCTCCCCATTCAGGACCTCCTTGGCCTGCATAGCCTGCTGCAACCTGCTGCTTTCTGCTTTTTTGGTGGACTCTCTAGGAACAAAGTGGCCTCCAGCGTCGCTGTACTGAACGACCACCTGGGACGAGGGCCCCAGGGTGAGCGTGTGCGGGATCATCGTCTGATGGGGATGCAGGTGGACCGGGATCGGGGGAGGAGATGCTGCCCGCCCAGAGCTCTGCGGAGAGCTGGAAATGTGAATATACTGGTTCTGCTGGGTGGGTGGAGGGGACCCCGGGGTGACCAGCCCCGCAGCAGCCCGGCTGAGGTGCTGCTGTGGTGGGGGCTCAACCTTATGTCCTGGTGCCTGGCTCAGACTGCCCATGTTGGCCAGCAGGGTGGAATAGGCCTCCAGCTGGGAGCGCTGTGATGGAGTGGTGGCCCCTGCAGCTGAGGCCACTGAACTGGTGACCGGGTTGCCCGACGGGGAGATTAGCTGGGAAGGGATAAAGCCAGCGTAGGGCCCACTGTATTGGGAGGAGCCAATGAACTGGAAGGTGTGTGACAGGTGGGCGTACTGCACGGGAGACACCGGGGTCCCCGATTGAGGAGGCGGGTACACCGTGGGCAGCGTGGTGGCTGTGGGGACTGACCTGGGGGCACTGGGTGGGGAGTAGTCCAACCCTGCGGACAGTGCTTTATGTAAACCCATTCCTTGTAAACCAAGCTCCCCGGAAGTCCCTGCTGGCCCATGCCGCCCACCCCCGTGGCCGCGGCTGCCAGGGGTGCTGGGGAGCCATGCCACACCCTCCACGCAGTGGTTGTCGCTGGGCAGAGCGGTGGCCTTCTCCTCAGAGGGCCGGCTGGTGGCGGGGATCTCACGTTTCTTGGGAGGCAGGCATTCATTGCTCCGCTCTTGGTTGGATTTCATTTTTCGCCGTCCCCCCTCCACGGTGGCTGTTTCACTGGCTGGCTGGCTCGGATTTCAGTCTGATAAACAGAGAGTCGCATGGGATTTCTGTAGGGGATCCAGGCCCTTCATGAGGAATCATCTCCCCGTGGGTTCGCTCGGCTGGCAGTAGCAGCTCCGGATTCTGAGAAGGAGAACGGACCAGGAGTGGGGGTACGGGGTGGGTGGGGGAATAGGGACAGGAAAGACAGAGGAGAAGAAGAAAAGCCAAACATCAGCTCTGTGGGAGAAACCCCATCAAGCCAAACCAATCAACCCGTCAACCCACTCACCAACCGAAAAACAATATTACCAACAAGATTAAAAGGGGACCTTGAGTGATTGGTAGCCCAACTGTTAAAATAGATAAAATATTAGTTAGGCTAATGAGCTAATAAGAATCAAGATATAAGTAAGTTTAAGGTGAACTTTTCTTAAACATTTGTTTGCTTATAATTTATTTGTGTGTGTGTGTGTGTGTGCATGCTTGCGTGCCTGTGGGAGTTTATGTACGTATGTGCCAGTACCCACAGAGGCCAGAAGATGGCATTGGATCCCCTGGCACTGGAGTTATGGGCTGTTGTAAACCACCCTGTGGGTGCTGGGACCTGACCTGGGCCCCTTACAAGAACAGTACTCTTGACCACCAGCCATCTCTTACCCAGATGTACTTTCCCTTTCTTTCTTTTTTTTTTAAATGACTTATTTATTTGCATTGGTGTTTCCCTACATGTGCATCTGTGTAAGGGTGTTGGATCCCCTGGAACTGGAATTACAGACAGTTGTGAGCCACCATTTGGGTGCTTGGAATTGAACCCAGGTCTTCTGGAAGAGCAGCCACTGCTCCCCCCCCCACTCCACTGAGTCATCTCTCCAGCTGAGATATACTTTCTTAATAAAATAGAGTAGGCAATTCAAACATTACTCCACACCTCACACCTTCTTTCCTCTTCCATCCCTTCCTTTTCCTTTTGGAGGGTAGATAAGAAAAAAAAAAAGAAAAAGAAAAATTTTCTTTTTTTTTTTTCTGACATGGTCTCTTGTTGCTCTGGCCGGCCTCATATTGGCTGTGTAATGGAGGCTGGCCTTGAATTCACGATGTTCTTGTCTCCGTCTCCTGGGGCCTGGGCTCACAGGTTTGTGGCACTCTGCCTGTGTTTTGGTAGAGGATGCATTTTGTAAATTTCTTCCGCAAAATGGTTGATGCTGTTCCTTATCGCCTGAGAAACTTTATCTCAGCCAGATGAGAGATCCCAAGAGCCGAGCTCTGGGAAGACACGGATTGGGAAGAGAGATGCCTGATGGGTCTTCAGGCTATTTCTCCATCTCCGGTTGCCAGAACCAATATTAAGATTTCATCTGGTGTCAGGGCTGCACTCAACCTATGGTGGTGTCCCCTTTCCTAACAGTGCCTCCTATACATACACCCCATGTACCCCAACTCAACAGTAGCAGCCCAAAATAATTCTGCTCACTCTAAGTCTCAAGAGAATTCCAAGTACAGTACCCTCTCCTATTAAGAGCACAGAGCATCGTTTACACCCAGTGTTTATAAATCCATTGCAAGGACAGCATAAAATCAAACCCCAAAGTATCAAACGTGTTGCTAACTTTTTTGCTGTCTGAAACACGGGTTCTCTGCAAAAAGCCACAGTGCTCTTAACTATGGAGCTATCTTTCCTGCCCGGTTCCCACTTTTTTTATAACAGCAGGCCAGGGAACATAATCATTGTGGAGGTCTACTCAGAGAACTGCTCATGCGGCCTCTGCTGGCGGCACAGGTGCACTGCCCCATAAAACGCCCCAGGATTTCATTAGGGACGTGCATGCAAGAGTGATGTGTCAGAATCGGAAATGAGAGCATTTGCATACAGTAGTGGGCCCAGCCAGCTAGGGAATAGGTTATTAGCTCAAGGCAGCTTGCGGGAAGAAAACGCAGGGGGCATGAAAGTCCTTTCGAAGCCAAGTAAAATGTCAAACATCCAGGAAGCGCTATTAGCAACAGGCAAACAGAAAACGGCCTGAGCTATTGACTGCAGTATGCAAACCCAGCAGCTCCTATGAAGAGGTTCTCAGAGGTACAGGGGTTTATTTATTCTGCCTGTCTGATAGAGGCTGGCTGTTCAGCCCCGAACACTAACTGGGCTGAGCTTCTGCTAAGGAACTAACAAGATACATCAAATATCTATTTTTAGTATTGAGGATCAAGCCCAGCACCTTGCGAATGCCAGGCAGGCACTCTACCACTTAGCTCTAACTCCTGGTATTATGTATCGATGCTGACAAATTTGAATTTATTCTGAAAAATTATCCACCGATAAATAATAGCATCTATGTTAGAGACTGGCTTTGTAAAACAAGGAGGAAACAATAAAGATTCAGGAGCGTCTCAGGCTGAACTCACACAAATTTTAACCCATCGTTGTCTTTTTTATATTTGCAAATTTTATAATTTAATATATTTATTATTGTTATTATTTTGTGGGGGGCACATGCCACAGCACACATGTGGCAATCAATTGGAACTGGTTTTCTCTTTTCATTGTGTGGGTCCTGGGGATGTGAACTTAGGTTGTCAAGCTTGGTGGCTTTACTTTATCCACAGAGCTATATTTCTACTTAGAATAATAGTTTTTAACCAAGTATTAAAAACTATTATTTTAATGGGGGAATCTTGCTATGTTGTCTGGGCTCGAGATCTTCCTGACCAAGGCTCCCAAGTTGTCACCAGTCTTGGCATTCTCCTAAATGTGGGATGTTTACCAGGCACCAGGGAAGACAGGGCTCTCTAAAGCCTGGTCCTTTAGCTGTCTGCACTGTCTGCATCTTCCAGAGTGGGACTGGATCCTGCTGGATTTTTACTAAGCCACTAGGGGCACCACACCATGCTACTGTGTAATGAGGTTAACCGTGACATTTTCATTACATATATATCATTATATTTTGTTCAATTTCCCCTCTGCCCTTCTGCCCCCTCTTCTTACTGTCTTCTTCTTCCCCTAAAATATTAACACTTTCTTCATACACACACACACACACACACACTATTCTCTCATACAATCTATACAGAAACATGACTCAAATTTGTAGGTGTATCCAACTGTTTGACATTGTGACACAGCATTGTCATCTACAAAGTCCATGCTTCAGAACTGCTCCATGAGACTTTTTTCCCCCAACAAAATTTCCTCTTCTCTCCCCCCACCCAAAAAAAATCTAAAGATGTTTCAAATAAGCTTAAATATCAGCCACATTCATAGGTATAGGGGGCTGACTTGGTCTGCAGGTTTGACATGCCTTTAGGCTACTATACATTTTATACAGGACTCAACCATGTTTTTGCTCCAATATGGCTCCGTTTTCTCTCTACTCTCCTGGTTGAGAAGCGACAGAAGAGGAACCTTCTAGGCTGGAGATATGAGGATAGACAGCCACTGGTTTTAAGACCTGGAAATAAGAAGCTGGTGCTCAGACTAGAAGGCACTTCCAGCATTTGACACAGATGCTTTTAAAAATACGTTTCAAGGGCGTCCTTGAAAGGGTGAGTGGAGAGGCTGTCCCTAGAGTCTCAGCTTGCACACACAGGAGGAAATGCAGAAGGCTCGTCAGGGTTGGGGCGGGCTCGGCATCCCTAACCTGCAAATTGAAACATAAAATGCTCCCGAAAGTCCCCGAGTCTGTGAGCAGTCACATGACCCAAGCGGGAAAGTCCACGACTGACCTTACTGAGTCAGAAGGTAGGTTTGCTAAAAATATTACATAAGATGAAGATGTCTCCATTGGTAAAGTGCGGATGCAAGTTTGGGTCCCATTCTGAATGTCTGATTTTATAAGTACAAGTATTCAAAACTTAAAAAAAAAAATTGAATGCAGAACACTTGTGGCCTAAACACACTGGATAAGGGGTACTAAGCTATACCAGGAAGTGAAGCACTTGACATAATGGCAGAGGTCACTAGGACACAGCGAGAATTCTTGAGGTTCTCACTCACCAATACCTTGCCCATCTGACTATGTCATCAGAGGAAACTCTAAGCTGGCAGGCGACTTTCAGTTTGGTGAACTTCAGAAAAGAAGCCCGACTCCAGCTTCCCTGGGGACGCAGGAAGGAGACAGCGGTCATAATTAGATGTCTTCATGGCTGACGGAGCAGGCATGTCTCAAAGGGAGAGGATCACTTATTCACCAAACACTACGTCATTTTCAGACTGTTCAGAGAACCTTCGCTGCTCGGTGTCAGCATGGGGCCCAGGACAGGGCTCTGCCCTCTACTCAGTTCTGCTCTGCTCAACATTTTATTAGTGTTTTGGTTATGGTCTTTAGAGGTAGCAGAAGGCTGCTGGAAGGGATATTTAGTATGTTGTGATTAATATGCAAATCTATCCTCAGAGGCTGGAAGTGATGGCATAGAACCAAGAAAATTAAGATTAATGAGAATAGAAATAAATGCCTGCCCTTGGTTTTAATAGCTCAATTAGCTTAGTTGGAGAGCTCTGGCTTAGGAAGAGTTTAAAGGAAGGAGTCTAGGATTTTTTTTTTTTTTTGAGAAAGGATCTTCTCAGGTAGCCCAGAGTGGACCTCAAATATGCAATGTTGCTGACGGTGTCTTTAAATTTCTGATTCTCCTGCCTCTGACTTCTGAGTGCTGAGATTACAGGTGTGTGCCACCATACCAGGTTTAAAACTCCCTAACACAGTGGTCTTGTATGTCGCACTCAAACGTCGGGAGCACTGCGGTGATATCGGTGTGATGGCAAAGGGTGGTCCCCACCCCCTGTGTGCTAAAAGGAAAAAAAGTGCATAGAAACAAGTGGAGGTGAGGATGTTCAAGCAAACCTTGCACTATATGATAGCTTTGTCACCATATATTTATCACTATTTATATTTATAGTAATATATTTATCACTATAGCTTTTGTGATAAATGTCATGGGTCAGGTTGCAAAAGACGAGATATCAGGCTGTCGTTCATAGGCAAGCAACAGGAGTGCTGGTGTTCCAGACCCAGCACCCAAGCTCAGTGGGACTCAGGCCACAAGAGAGCTGAGATGGCACCTCCTGCCCTCGTGGGACACTAAGAATTGTGAGTACCAACGTGACTTGTAGGCGAGCTCTGTGTGTGTCAGAAAGAGCAGACTCAAGTCGA